AAAAAAAAAAAATTCAGTATGAATGACAAACTGTGACTCCAAATAATCCCTCTGTAGGAAGGAACCTTCAAATCAACTCTGAAAGCATAGGACTTTTCTCAGACTGGAGGGGGTGTGTTCAAATCAGGTTTTGTGGTCTTTCTCTGACTTTCAGAGTTCCCTTTCTTACTCAAATGTGAAAGAAACAACTAAAGGCCAAAGAGTCTTTAAACTCTAGGGTGTTAAGCTCAATGGGTGATGCAGTAGAAGGACTGGATGCTTAAAAAACTATGCTTGATGGGTGGAGATTATTCTGTGATGAAAAGCTCTTCCCTTCTTGCTTATGACCCGGATGGATTCCACTCCCACCTCCCCCACAACATCTCCTTACAATCTGTAACTCCAGTTCCAGATAAGACAACACTGCCTTCTGGAGACATGAGGTAAGGCTCAACTAGGAAGCAGAGGCAGGTGGATCTCTGTGAGTTTGAGGCCAGCCTGATCTAGAGAAGGATAATTCCAGGACAGCCAAGGCTACACAGAGAAACCCTGTCTGGAGGAGAGAGAGAACAAAACACTACAAATTGCTAGAAGGCTAGTTATGTACCTCTGAGGGTACTGTTCATGTCACATGTACGATACCCTGGTTTCAAGCCACAACACTAAATAAATTGGTCATAGTGACCTACACCTAGTATAACCCCCGTATTTGAGGTAGAGACAAGATTTGAACTTCTGCTACTGGCTCCTATTCAACTTTTTTTTTTTGTCTTTGCCTATCTTTGCCTGTGGGGACTGGCTCTCAAGCAGATGAAGGGACACCAGCACTCTAGGCATCTGGATCTTAGCCAGAGTCATCTCTCTAGTCTAAGATTCTAAGATTTTAATACTGCTCTCTCTCTCTCTCCCTTTCTTCTCTTTCTCCCCTCCTACCATACTCTCTTTTGTTTTTTTTTTTCAAGACAGGATTTCTCTGTAGCTTTGGAGGCTGTCCTGGAACTCACAGAGATAAGCCTGTCTCTGCTCCCAAACATTGGGGATTAAAGGCTTGTGCCACCACAGTCCAGTTTAATATGATTTCCAAGTAATTTACAATTTTTATCCTTTGGTAGTTCGCTTGTTGTGAGTAGCAAGCATTTGCAGTTATTTTCAGTGCTGGGAAATGAACAAACACCTACCGAGCATCAATTACAGAACAGACCTCTGTTCTAGGAGACTGTGATATGAGACTCGGGGAGTGAAGTGCTTGCCCTACATACACAAGGCTGTGGATTCCATCCTTAGAGCCATGGGAAAAGGCAAAGCTTCAGGTGAAAGAGTGCACAGATGCAGGCAGGAGAATCGGACCTCAAGGCCATTCTCCCCGATTACAGACCTTATCTCAGACAGACAAGACTGTGCTTGGGGAAGTCACTGTAGAACATTTCATCTCTACATTATAGAGGAAGAAGGCAAACAATAGCCTTCAGCAGTACAAAGAGCCAAGGAGATGCAGCTGCAAGGTTGGTGTGAGACACAGCTGGGAAAAAAGTGTGAAGCGGGGCTGTTTTGGGGTTCCAGGCCTTCACTGGAATTCCAGTCAAAATTGTCAGGCTTGCATGATAAAACACTTTTCCCACTGAGCCATCTCCAAGGTCTGTACTCTGAAAGAAGTTGATCAAGTTGACATCTGGAAGAAAGAATCTGGAAAGGAAAAGATAGGGTTCTGCAGAGGGAGGATTCGGGCTGAGTAAGAAATGCAAGGGCGGGGTTGCTGGAGGGCACGCTGGAGCCAAGAGCAGAGAGGGTCAGTGTAAGAAGTCTAACTTCGTCGGGCGTCCCAGCACTCGGGAGGCAGAGGCAGGCGGATCTCTGTGAGTTCGAGGCCAGCCTGGTCTACAGAGTGAGTTCCAGGACAGCCTCCAAAGCCACAGAAAAAAAAAAAAAAAGAAGTCTAACTTCAGCAGGGCATTGGTGCAGTGCACCATTTATCCCAGCAATATGGAGGCACAGGCAGACCGATTTCTGTGAGTTTGAGGCCACCCTGTTCCCCAGAGCATGTTCCAGGTCGGCCTCCAAAGCAACACAGAAACCCTGTCTATAAAATTAAAAAAAAAATCAAACAAAAAAACCCTTTAGCGCCGGGCATTGGTGGCGCACGCCTTTAATCCCAGCACTTGGGAGGCAGAAGCAGGCGGATCTCTGTGAGTTCGAGGCCAGCCTGGTCTACAGAGTTCCAGGACAGCCTCCAAAACAATACAGAGAAACCCTGTCTTGAAAAACCAAAAAAAAAAAAAAAAAAAACAAACAAAAACCCTTTAGCTTCTCCTCAGAATGACACAACCTATAGGAATTGCATATAGTCATGACCTGACTTCATTTCCAAGCAATGTTTTCATACATCCAATTGGGTATTTTCCCAATCCTCACAGATGCAGTGGCACAGCCTTTAGTCCCAGCACTTGGGAGGCAGAGGCAGGATGTCTGAGTTTGAGGTCAGCCTGGTCTACAGGCTGAGTTCTAGGTCAGCCAGTGCTACCCAGAGAAACCATCTCTACCACCCCCAACAAAAAAGTCTAATGTATTAGTTGATACACCTCTAAGTAACTTGTACTCCCCATCAGCCAATTGCTAATATTAGTGCTTTTATTTAAAAAATTTCTCAAATTCTGCAGTATATATATGCAGAGATCATTTTGAGACAGGTTTTCTGTAAGTAATCCTTGCTGTCCTGGAAGTTGATATGTAGACCAGGCTGGCCTGAAATCCAGAAATGTTGAAACCCCCAATGCATGTGTGACATCGGAAGTAGCCACTGAAAAGAACCCGAGATTGATTCTTTCCTTCTACCTAACGGGTCTTGGGTGACAATTCAGGTAGTTAGGCCTTGGCGACAGGTGCTTTACCTGATAAACCACCTCAATATTAATATTTTAAAATGTTTTCTGCCTTATATACATTCTCTATAACCATGCTGAGGAAGACTTTGAATTTGGTACTCCTGCCTTTGCCTCCTTATTTCTGGGATTACAGGTGAGGGACACTGCAGTCCTGTTATTGAGCATTGCGCCAGCACACAGGGCTTCATGCATGCTAGACAGCACTTCAGAGGGATTACATCCTGAGCTCCTTTCCCCAGTACCCTTCTGACTGGAAAAATAAATCATTAAACAGCTTTAGAGCTGGGTTATGACAGATCACTCTTACAATCCCAGCCTTGTGGAAGTCAGAAAGGCTGCTGCCGAGTTTTGGGTGGCCTGAGCTACAAAAAAACCAAGGATACAGTAAGACCACCTCAAAACAAAGGGAAAAGGAGTGTGTGAGCTCGAGATGGTCCAATGGTTAGAGTGCACGATGCTTTTCCAGGCCACCCGTTTGTTTTCAGTCCCCATGTTGGGCAGTTCACAGATACCTGTGTAACTCCAGCTCTTTCGACTTCTCTGGGCACCCCTGGTCTACAGAGCGAGTTGCAGGACAAGTCCCAAAGGTACAGAGAAACCCTGTTTTGAAGGACTCCCTGAAGACAGGGTAAACAAGCTATTCGAATGGTGTAACTGTTACTAACCTATTTAGGAAATTGGAGCACACTTAAGAATGTCACAAAACCAGGGAGCCTACTAGGCTCATCCAGTAATTGCTGACTACAGGTATAATTAGGACTGATTGCTTCTTCAACATTAAATTCATATCTTTTCTTTTGCAAAGCAATTATCAGTAATAACTGTATTTCCCATTGCATTACTTCAGTGACACATTTTTTGGGGGGTCTTTCGAGACAGGATTTCTCTGTATTGGTTTGGAGGTTTTCCTGGAACTGACTCTGTAGACCAGGTTGGCTTTGAACTCACAGAGATCTGCCTGCCTCTGCCTCCCGAGTGCTGGAATTAAAGGAGTGCGCCACCAATGCCAGGCTACACATTTTTAATTGTTTGTAGCACTTTGCTCAAAGTGACTTGTGGGTGGGGGCAGGTAGGTGGTTAGTGGTACTGTGGATTGAATCTGTGGTCTCACGTATGTTAAGTGCTCTAACAATTGTTACTGCAGCCCCTTTAGCTGGGATAGTCTCACCATACTGACCAGCTTGGTCTTGTACACTCTATGTACTTAAGGCAGACTTTAGACATGCGTGACCTTCCCTTTCCTGGGATTTCAGACCCTAGCCTATAGGCTTAGTTCACACTTTAGTGTTGATGGAAAAGCTTCATCTTACAAAATACAAATATTTTCTTAGCTTAATGTTGTATATTTTACTGAACCGTACTTTAAAAACTTGCTATACCTTGTTTCTATTCCCTGCTTAGACACATTCACCTCAATGTCAGGGAAGGCACAGGCTTTGTTCATGGAGACTCATTTTCTACAGCAACATCCTTTGACTTTGGCACCTACTCTTGGAACTTGCCATGCCCTTTCGAAGCCAAGGGAAAATGGAGGACTGTGAGTGCCAGGATTCCTTCTTTGATTTATAGGCAGGCTTGCCACACACACTTGTGGACAGGGAACTATCTCCATGACTGGACTCTATGAGCTAGACGCAAAAGTGAAGTGCAAATCCCATCTTGACTCCCCAAGGACACCATCAGCACAGCAGCCCTCCTCCTCTCGTGGACTTCATCTGAGGCACAACTCTAGCTCCATGCCCATTTCAGCCAAGAGAAGGAGCAGAAGTGCAGAAACAGGGGTTGGCAGTTGAGTGTATCACATCATTAAGTGAAAACAACAGAGGTCCGTCAGTAGATGACACCTGGGCAGAACCAAATGTCTCACAGAAAGCTTCTTGCCTAACCTATAGTTTCCCAGGGCAGCCAAGCAAGCAAGTTCTGTGGTCATTCAACACCTTTATGGAATGACTGATGCCTGGCACGAGAGCCACAAAGTGGTGATGGTGTTCACGACCTTCACACCCAGAACGTGCTACCACCCTGCCTCCCTCTGCTCCAAGCATTGTTCCAAAGTCCTTTCAAACATGATGCCCAGAAAGGGGCAGAAGGAACGCAGGGGAAAAGTAAAGCAACCACACAGAAAAGAAACAAAACCAAAAGTCACAAATGAGATTCAGTGTAATATGTTACAACAGTAGAAAACAAACCCAAGGACTATACACTAACATACTACAACCTAGGAAAGAGAGCACGCAGAGTCTCAGGCACAAACTGAACTTTAGAATGGACCACAGAACTGGCTATGACCCTGTTGTGCCTGGGACAGGACATGCAAGTACTAGATCTGGGGATGCCATATTCTTGCCCCAGGTCCTCTTTGCAGCGAAACCAGTAGGACACTTTCTTATCTTCACACAACAGTAGAGGGTATACCTATTTACAGTGTCCTGTCATCATAACGAAGAGAGATGCATTTTGGTGGCCGCATTGGCTCTTTTCCCAGGCTGCTTGTACTACAGCAATAACTAACAAACAATGTCCCCTAGCTTCTGGGTTATATGGGCGCCTTCCCGGGCACAGATGTGGGTTTTCATCAGTCTCAGTCTTGGCTGTGGTTCCGTAGAACCACAAGAGTGGGTGATGACAGCAGATAGTCAAACCCGAGATCCTCCCTTTATCCCTGGAGACTCTTATTTAAGATCTTGTTCCTAGAAAACAAAATTATGCATGGATTCATTCATTCAATCATTTTCTCCTCACCACCTTGCCCCCACCCCCCATAACACTGGAACAGGGTCTCACATAGATCAGGCTGGTCCCAAATTCCCTATCACCCCTTGTACATTTCCCAAGTGCTGGGATTACATGTATGTCCTACCCAGATAATGAACTAGAACCAGGAAGAATCACCATTTTATTTGTTTACTTGACTATTTATTTTGTTTTTTCAACACAGGGTTTCTTCTATGTCTAACAACTCTAGCTGTCCTGGAACTAGCTCTGTAGACCAGGCTAGTCTGGAACTCAAGAGATCAGCCTGTCTCTCCCTCCCGAGGGTTGGGATTAAAGGCATGCACCACTACTGCCTGGCCATGAATCAAATTTCAACCTTTAAAACAGACAAGATTGGCCGGGCGTTGGTGGCACACGCCTTTAATCCCAGCACTCGGGAGGCAGAGGCAGGCGGATCTCTGTGAGTTCGAGACCAGCCTGGACTACAGTGCGAGTTCCAGGACAGCCTCCAAAGCCACAGAGAAACCCTGTCTCGAAAAACAAAAACAAAAACAAACAAACAAAAAAAAACATTTGAGGCCAGTCTGGTCTACAAAGCTACACAGAGAAACCCTGTTTTAGAAAAAAAAAAGACAGGATGACAGGTGTACACCACCACACCCAGCTCCAGTTGACTGAAACCTTCCTAAAGAACCAGTTTCTTTCCACATCTGATATCAAACCTACTCAATGCTCAACTCTAATGAGGCAAGAGGTACGAAAACCCTGTTTAAACCACATCTGTTGTGTGTGTGTATATGAAGATGTCATGATGCACGTGATGATAATCAGGGAACAGCTTTTGTGAATTGCTTCAGTCTTTCCACCACATAGGTTCTGGGAATAGAATTCAGGCCACAAGGCTTGGCAGTAAGTAGGTACCTTTTGAACTGAGCCATCTTGTGCCCAACAAGAGGACTCTCTGAGCCCAAGCCTAGCCTTGCTACACTATGAGACCTTGTCCTCAAACACATCCAAAAGCTAGTAGCGAGGCTTAAATGATATATACTTACAATCCCAACACTTGGGAGTTGGAGGCAAACAGACTGCCCCAAGTTGGAGATCAGCCTGATCTACACAGCAAGTGTCAGACCCATTAACACCCTGAGCTGTGGTGGTTACTTCCCTGAGCATAATAAGAAAATACTCAAAACACAGCTGATTACAATGACTGTATCTTTCCCTCAGGGAACTCCAGGCTCCCATTTTCCGGGTGAGCTCAGCACTCACCTGTGAACACACTCCGGGCACAGGAGATTGTCCTCCAGGTGTGGGGGAGGAAAGTTGCAGGCTGGAAGCAGGAAGAGGGCAATCACTTTCCCTTTCTTCTCAGGCACCCAGGCTTGTCCAGCGTGGAACTGCAGCCGAACCCAACCACTGGTGTTGTTGGGAAAGCTTCTCCCATGAACCACACACCACAACTCCCCTGTGGAAACTAAGAGATATAACACGGAGTCACATACTTGGGCACAAGACTGACCACAGCCTTCCAGCATACTTAATGACTCCAGGACATGCCAGCCCTGAAATAAAACTTGAGAATCCAACCTTTTATCTCAATCCATCTTGTTCCCTACTACAAAAGCATACAAGAACTCCCAGATAGATAACCAAAGGCCTTTTTCATGAACTAGGTCTAGGGGCATCGACCTTTTGTTTTGAAGTAGGGTCTCACTGTGCAACTCTGGCAGGCCTAGGTGTTCAAGGTATCTCTCTGTTCCTGTCTGCCAGGAGCTGAGTCCTCTACAAGAGCAAGTGCTCTGAACCTAGGAGCCATCTTCCAGTCCTCAACTAAGACCTGGACACGCACTGCATCACATTCCTTCCTGAATTTTCTGTTATTCCTACATGAGCTCTCTATTATTCTGGAAGTCTTAGGTAGACCAGGTTGACTTCAAACTCCTGATCCTCCTACTCAGGTGCTGGGTTCATAGGCTTATGATATCTTACATTGGTTGTTTTTGTATGGCAACTTGACATAGCTAGAGTCATGAGAAGGAGCCTCGGCTGAGGAAATGGTTTTATGAGATCCAGGTGTAATGCATTTTCTCATTTAGCCACCAACCCAGGAGGTCCCAACCCATGGTGGGCAGTGCCATCCCTGGACTGATGGTCCTGAGTTCTACAAGTTGGGCTGAACAAGCCACGAGGAGTAAGTCAGTAAGCAGCATTCCTCCATGGCCTCTGCAGTCGTTCTTTCCCTGTTTGAGTTCCTGTCCTGACTTCCTTCAGTGATGAACAGCAAAGCTGAAGTGTAAACCTAATGAATCCTCTCTCTCCCTCAACTTGCTTTTTCGTCATGGTGTTTCACCACAGCAATAGAAACCCTAACAGACGAGTCTTTTCTGAGTTATGTCTATTTTATAACCAGAAACGGGAGACTGTTAGTGTCCCCTTCTTAGCAGACTGAAGAGATCCCAGCCTCAATACCAGAGAGTTTTTAACGACAGGGGAAGAAACAACCGAAAAGCTCATGGCTTCTTGCGTGGTGTGTGAGTAATTTGAAGTAATTCTCAAAGTATGATTCCTTGGATCAGCATCCTCATTACTGCTTGGGTAGCTGTTAGAAATGCAGACCCTCAGCTGGAGACAGAGATGGTGGTGAACACCAATAATCTCATCACTTGGGAAGGTAAGGGCAAATAGAGGTTACCCAGGGCTATCCTTTTAAAGATCCTTATCTCAACAAACCAAAGGAATACTAGCTAGCTTTCAGGCCCTACCCCAGATGGGACTCAAGATATAACAGGATGGGTGTGGTCCAGGAATCATTGGTGGTGGTGACTTTTTTTTCCCTTCTCTAGACAGGGTTTCTCTGTATTGTTTTGGAGGCTGTCCTAGAACTGGCTCTGTAGACCAGGCTGGCCTCGAACTCACAGAGATCAGCCTGCCTCTGCCTCCCAAGTGCTGGGATTAAAGAAGTGGGCCACCAATGCCCGGTTGGTAGTGACCGATTCCAATAAATGACTTACCACAGGACTCTGCTGTTGCACTGGATTGCACTGACTCATTCTTCGTATTCTTCATATTATTATTATTAGCCTGGGCTACAATTTTGGACCAAGATGCCAACACTGCCTCAGAGGCAGTCGTTGTCACAACAGTGGTGCTGACTTCTTCATAGAGGACAGGAGGCTCAGTAAGGGCGGGTACCTGCTGCTCGGGTACGGGGACCACTTCCAGAGGAAATGTCACCTGAGGATAAGGCACCTGCCCCTCCTCTGTCTTCATTTTTTTCCGAAATGTCTTCACCCTGGCCTCTTTTGGTGTGTCAGGGACATTCTTTAAATCGTGCTGGGATATTATAGATAATAACAGGAAATAAATATTAAGAACTGGTAAGACAGCTCAGCGGCAAAAACACTATGAAAAGACTTGAACTGGACTGAATCTCCATATAAGTGGCTCACATCTGTATTCTATTCCAGTCAACACTCCTACAGCAGAATGGGAGGTGGAACAGGAGAGAGACTCTCTATCTAGCCAGCTAGTCTATGGCATCCATTAGCAAACGACAAAGACTGATTTAAAAACAAAGAAGGCAAGAGATGATATCCAGTGGTGTCCTCCAGAAACTCGCTGTAGCATCCCTATATAACACTCACACATACATTATATGAGGAAGAGGAGACGGTTTGGCAGTCAAGACAACTTACTGTTTTGGGAGTAAACTTGGATCCAGTCCCACCACTTAAATGGTGGTTCATCCACTGTAACTCTAGTTCTAGAGGACTCCATGCCCTCTTCTGGCTTGAGGGCACCAGAAGCCCATGTGGTGCAAAAATAATCATGTAGGCAAAATGCACATATACTTAAATAAGACAAGTATGAAATAAATAAGACAAAAGTGAAAAAGTGACCAGATTGTGGCTTTGCGTGAGGGAGGTATTTGCTGATGGATTCAGTTAGATAGAGGGGCAAAGCTAGAGAGACTGTCAGTAGCAGAACACACTAGCAGCTACTAGGCCCTGGGTTCAATGCATAGAACTTAAGGAGACCCAGACAGCGGGCTGACTAGAGCTAGTGAGAATACACTACACTCGCTTACAGAGTGTAAGCATTCTTCGGCCGAGGCCAGTGTGGCATGCCTGTGGTCTCCGCTAACCAGGAGGTGAGGGTATCACTTCCCTTGGTAATTTATAATGACTCCTAGTATCAAGATCAAAATGCATGCTGGGCACTTAGGATGCAGAGGCAGGAGGTTGCTTTTGCAAGTTTCAGGCCAGCAATGACCACACAGTGAAAACCTATCTCAAAAATATTACAAGTCAACCAAAATAAAGGAATGACCCAAGTACGGGGACACATGTATAACTATGGGAACTGAGAAAGGAGGTTGTTGAGCTTTAGGTCAGCCTGGGCTACATATAGACTTATTTAAAAAAAGGAGGGTGGGGTAGGGAATGGGGTGCAGCACAGGACAGAACACGCATTAAACATTCATTTTCCAGCTCCAAAAATAAAAGGACCTTACTTAGTTTTATTACTTTGCATCCTTTCCTCAAATTGGGGTAGAGGGGGAAGAAGGGGCCATGAGAAGTCTTCAACTTATTCCCTGATGAGGGAATACAGTCATTAGAAGAACCAAACCTTTCTGTCACTGTTCTTCAAGTACAAGGTTATATGTCGGGCATGGAGGACAGTGATGTCTAAAATCTGACCAATGAGAAGTAGGCAGATCTTGACTTTGAAGCCACTTTGTTCTACATACCTGACTACCAGGGTAGCTTGAGCTAAATACTAAACAATCTCAATAAATATATAGTTACCATTTGATCTGGGAAAGCCCCTGCAAGGAGTCGTTTATAAGCATCTAATTTCTAAGACAAAAAAAAGAGACAACAACAACAATAAAAAAGAGTTGTTAGTGAAAGTTCGGTTCCACTCTCCCACTCTGCAAGAGGCCCCCACAGGGCCCCCACCTGGCCTTTGCTGCTCAGCTTCATCTCCTGGCACCATGCCCGCAAAACATCTCGGTGAATCAGGTTCACTGGGGGCAGATGGGCTGGTAGAGGAGGAACTGGTACCTTCCTACGAGGGGGTTTGGGCGCCTCAGCGTCTCCTGTTTTCTCCTCTGATTTACAACCTGAGGGACAAAGGGAATACAGTTAGTAACAATTTTCATGCAGCTATATAGATTTTTGAATGAAACACATAATCCCTTTTGGTTCTTGGTCACCTAATGTAGATAGAGGTGCATGTTTAAAATGACCCAAAGGTCCGGGATAATGAGATTGATGACTACCTTATATGACATCCTAGAGCCTTCATCCAGTAAGCTGATGGAAGCAGAGGCAGACACCCACAGCTAAATCCTGGAACCCAGTTGCAGAGAGAGAGAGATGAGTGATGAGCAAAGGGGTCAAGACCAGGCTAGTGTAACCCACAGAACCAGCTGACGTGACAAGTGGGAGCTAATGGACCCCAGACGGATGGCTGAGAGGCCAGCATGGGGCTGATCCAGACCCCCTAAATTTTGGTGTCAGTGAGGAGGCCTCAGCAATCTATGAGGCCTGGGGTAGTAGATCAGTGTTTATCCCTGGCATACAAATGGACTTTGGGAGCCCATTCCACATGGAGGGATGCTCTCTCAGCCTGTACACACAGCAGAGGGCCTAGGCCCTGCCATGGATGATACGACAGACTTTGGAGATCCCTCATGGAGGGCCTCACCCTCCCTGGGAAGCAGAGTGAGGATTGGGTGGGGGAGCTGGGGGGGGCTCATGGGGGTGGGGAGAAAGGGAGGGTGAGGGAGCTGGGATTGACATGTGAAGCAAACTTGTTTCTAATTTAAATACAAATTAAAAAAATAACCCAAAAGTCATACAGACTACATAGGTCAGACCGCAATGTCTGGACTTTCAAATCCCCGTGTTCTTTGCTAAACCCAAGTAAATAAATGTGCTTGGCTTGCTCCTCTGAGAACCCTCCAGGAATGAATGCAGTTAGTTGGTTACCATTCTCCCCCAGGGAACTGACGAACTAGATGTGAGGTCCATACTCTATGCTGAGTGCTGCCCAGTCCTTTCACCACAGAAGCCCAGGCCACCCCATCACAGCAGCACCCCAGGTGCTGCTCTGTAAGATTCCTAGAACACCTCAAGGGCAGACTGTACTGACAACAAGCATCGTTAGAGTTTATGCAGACCCCTACCAACCCCTCTGCCCCATTCCTTATAAAGATTAAGTCTAGCCTCACTGCTTTAGGATAGCATGTGTGATGGACCCTCAACCACTGCTATTAGCCCCCAAAGCAAAATGGCTACCAGAACCACATATGTTATGTGACTAAATGATGGAAAGGATTGTCTTGGCAGGAGGTAGCAAGCCCCTTAAAAATTTATTGATTATATATACACTGACAAATTTCATTATAGATGGTTGTGAGCCACCATGTGGTTTCTGGGAATTGAAATCAGGACGTGTGGAAGAGCAGCCAGGGCTTTAACCTCTCTGAGCCATCTCTCCAGCCCCACCCGTTTTCTTTCTTTTTAAAACAGACCTGAGAACCTGTTAGACCTCAGGTGTACAGAGCCAGGCAGTGCAGGCATGTTTCATCCTTTTTGTAGACTTAAGGACGATTTCTTAAGTTTCTTAGACAGAAAGACATAGGACTAAGCGTTTGCAGACTCTTACCGTTTCCTTTCACTGTCTTTTTTTGTCTCTTCCCCGTTGCTGGAGCCTTTACAAAGGCTGCGCTTGGCTGACTAGACATCTGGCATTCCTCTTCTCTAAATGCTCCTGAGCTGCTATACTGTAGACAGAGGAGTTAGACAGTTATCTGGTGTCCTGAGCCAGCATACACCCTTCCTTGCTAACATCGACAGTCCCCACGGGGTCACTGCATATGACTGCCAGTGTGAATTCTATCATTTGAATAAGCAGTCTGACTTAATGAAATAAGGAAGCAATGGTTGGGGAAAATGAGAAGGTGACAGCAGGGAAAACAGGCTTGTTGACAACAGAATTTTAACCCTAGCACTAAGAAATTTTTTTCTTCTCCAAGACAGGGTCCTCTGTGTAATGCCTTGGATGTCCTGGAACTCAGAGATCCACCGACATCTGCCTCCCAGTGCTGGGATTAAAGGCTAAAGGCGTGTGAACACTTTGTGAGTCCCCTGTGGTGCTCTTTTAAGGAAAGGAAAAAAAAAAAAAAACAGTTGTTAAAGTTGCAATCTTAGCCTTGGGCAGCACATGGAGGATCACCAGGGGAGTCAGAAGCCATAATGAGCCTCAGGCCAAGTTGAGGCTATAGAACAAAACCAAAAGTACAAGATGAGCTATAAACAAAAGCAAAAGGGAAAAAGTGACAAAGACAATAGTGTGCTAGTCTGCTTTTGTGGAAAGAAACCTGCATATTCCTCCATTTCATCCTCCACCCCAAAGGTTCTTAGACCTCACTCCCTCAGTCTCAGTTCAAGGGTTATTTTGCTAGAATCTCTTTGCAGCCAATCAACCACATACTGCCTCATTTCTGCTTGTCCACAGCAGCTTTCCATGAGGTTGACTCCACTCCATTTTGAACTCCACAAGACTGGGGTCTCTTGCCAGGCTGCCTAAAACCCATGACAGGAGAGTTAGCCCACCCCAACACTGCCTGAAATACCAGAACCCACAGGCGAGATGACCCAGAGACCTAGGATAGAACCAAACAGGACTACAGAAGGAAAATGTCAATGTAATGATGTCTAATGCTATTCTGCTATACTCATAGATCATCAATGGAGAGGCTTCATCCAGCAACTGATGGAAACAGATGTAGAGACACAGCCAAACATTAAGAGTTCTGGGAATCCTGAAGATGGGGAGGAAACATTGTAGAAGACAGAGGGGTCAAGACACCACAAGAAAACTCACAGAATCCATTAACCTAGGCTCATAGGAGCTCACAGAGATTGAATCAACAACCAGGAAGTCAGCTTGGGACTGACCTAGGTACCCTGCATACATGTTACACAGTTGGGTATCTTGGTCCTCTTGGGGGACCCCTAACAATGGGGACAGGAGTTATCTCAGGCTTCTTTTACAGGCTTTTGGAACCTTACTCCACAGACTGGGTCGCCTTGCCCAGCCTTAATACCTGGGGAAGTGTTTGACCTTACTGTAACTTGACATGACATGCTTTGTTTATACTCATGGGAGACCTGCCCTTTCCTGAACTGAAAGGGTGGGGGCAGGAGGAGGAGGGCTAGGAGGAGACGACGGGAGGAGGGAGGACACTACCGCTGGGTTGTAAAATAAATTTACTTTATAAATAAACTGGGTGGTGGTGACCCACGCCATTAATCCCAGCACCCGGGATGCAGAGGCAGGCGGATCTCTGTGAATACGAGGCTAGAGTGAGTTTCAGGTCAGTCAGGGCAGTTACGTAGAGAAACCCTGTCTCAAAAAACCAGATAATTAAGTAAATAAATGAATAAAAGCAATCCCTGGTCAGTTTGTTCCCAAACCTAAGGCCTTTCCAAGTTGGACCTCCACCAACAAGAGCTGAATAAATTAACATTTGTTTTGCATCTCAATAGGAACTAGCTTCACTAGTTTACATTTCCATATCCTCTTCACAAATAATTCAGTTTTGGACCGAACAAAAATGTTACACTAAGAAAGCTGGAAATGATGGGCTCTTGGGAAGGAGACCTGGAGCGCACTCACGAGTCTGGCTCCTGCAGTTAGGAGCCAGCAAGGTTTGTTTCCCGGGTCTGCCTTCCTGAAATTCCTTAATTGAGGACCCTTGGAAAGATAAGGAGCCTAGAAGCCCTTCAGCAAGCATTTGTGAGCCAAGGCCTCTGGCTCTCCAGTGGTAATTAGTGGCTCTTGTGCCTTCGGAAGCAGACCGCTATCCAAATGCCTCAGGTTCATTTTACCTCCCCACTTTTATCTTGTGACCACTTTCCTCCAGTCACAGTACTCTAAATTGCTTCCCAGCAAAACATCCCTTCCAAAACACAACCTCCCTTTCTAACACCTACTGCAGCCAGGCCCCGGGGCGCCTCGTCTAAGGCCTTGAGAGCGGCCCGCCGCCGTTGGGCCCCACACCTGCTCGGAACAAACTGTAATGCTCCTTCTCTTCGCCCCCAAACAAAGGCCGAGTGTGCTCAGCAAAGAAGCACGAGACCCACCTATTTGGGAAGTCGAGCCACAAACAAAACAAAACAGCTCTCACCTCCCTGCGTTCAGCATGCTCCATCTTCAAATCAGAGACCGCCGAAAGAAAATTCTTCCAGCTTCCAAATGACCTCTGGCCTCAGTGGGCTTTTAGAAATCTCCTCCTACTTCCTGTTGCCTTGATGCTGTCTTCCGTTCCCCAACCTCGTGATCCCATCCCACCCCCCAACAATTTGTGGTGCTAAAGTCTGGGGGTGGCAGGGTTTTATTGTTTTCCAGGCTGACTTGGAACTCACTTTTGCAGCCCAGATGAGCTAAAATCCCGGGGTTATTCTGCTCAGTCATAGACTGAAAACTACAAGTATTTTTGGGTGGCACATACCTTTAATCCTGGCGCTCTGCATGCTGAGACAGGAGGATCTTTCTGAGCTCCTTGCCAGCTTGGTCTTAAAAAAGAAAAATAAAAAATAAAAAGGGCAAGTGGAGTTCCAAAAGAATTCCGAACAAGCTGTGTGAGCAGTCTGCCTAATTAGCGAATGAAATTAGAGTCTTGGATTTGAGGAAAACAACCCATTTCTCGATCCTTGTGAATTCCTTTTCTGTAAACCACAGGGGGTTCGTTCTGTTTTTATGGTGATAGTGCTCCTGGAGGGCCTTGTTTATGCATACTATAATCAGTCTGCCGCTGAGCCACAGCCAATAGACAACTTTTGTAAATTCCTTTCAGTCCTTTCCTAAAATCTCATGAGATTTCATGAAGTTCCGGTTGGCCTGGGGCGCAGAGCGATCTTCCAGTTTCTGCTCCTGAATGTTGTGATCAAGGAGCCTTATCACACCTGGCCAAGGCTTGCATTTCTGTTCTCTGACTCCGCCTCCCCAATGCTGGAATTCAGGCCACCAAACCTGGCTTAAAACTGTACAATCCTCCCCCCCTCCCGAGAAAGGGTTTCTCTGTGGCTTTGGAGGCTGTCCTGGAACTAGCTCTTGTAGACTAGGCTGGTCTCAAACTCACAGAGATCTGCCTGCCTCTGCCTACAGAGTGCTGAGATTAAAGGCGTGTGCCACCAACGCCTGCCTGTTAATAGTTTTTAAAGTCCGCTGGGCAGTGGTGGCACAAGCCTTTAATCTCAGTAGTAAGGGGATAGGTGGATCTCTATGAGTTCAAAGCCAGCATGGTCTCCAGAGAGAATTCCAGAACAGCTAGACACAAAGAAACCCTGTCCCGAAAATAATAATAATAATAATAATAATTTTAAAAGTTCAGCCTGGCGCTAGTGCATGCCCAAGACGTCCAGCCAAGGCTGCACAGAGAAACAAACTAAAAGTTCGTGTTGAATTTTTCTTTTTCTCAATGCAATTGGAGAAAACACTGATGGGTTTGGAGACATGGGAATTTATTTGTTTAGCGTGTGTGAGGGCCAGCTCATGCGTGTGCAAGGGCAATCCACTTAAGGTCTGAGGACTGTTTCTACTACATGGGTTCCAGGTGTTCTGAAAGGAGGAAAGGCTATACCAGGCCTGACCAGGCAGGAAATTGGTTCTCCAGACTGAGATCAATGGAAGAGATGTTTAACATCTCAAGGTGCAGTTTCTGACTGGATTTAGGACCCACTCTACAAGACAAAACTAGTGCCTGAAACTGACTGATGGTTGGTCAAGAACTAGTGGCTACATAAGTCATAGGCCTTAATGGAGAATCTATTACTGTTATTCTGCTAAATGGACTTAAACCATCTCCTGAAGATTTATCGTTATACGAAGAGCATGGACTGCAAAGTCCAACTTCCCTTTAGCATCTCTCAACTGACATTAGAGAGGCTCCTAGCGGTGGCCAGCAGTTAACCCACAAACCACATCTCATCACCGTGCAGAGAACACAGGACTGCCGAGTGCTCGCCCCTGAGTGGGGTGTCTATGTCACTTCCTGGAGGGTAAAAGAGCCAAGGAAAACACCCTACCCCTACCTGAAGTAGAATACACACACACACACCACGCACAACGCACCACCCCAGTGACAACTCACCATAGATGGCCAAGAAACATTGTCGGTCTAGTCTGGTTGAACATTTCCACTAGCTCACCACAAATATTCCAAAGACTCTATTAAAAAGCCCACCCAGTTGGTGGCGCACACCTTTAATCCCAGCATTCGGGAAGAAGAGGCAGGTGGATCTCTGTGAGTTTGAGGTCAGCCTGGTCTACAGATCAAGTTCCAGGAGAGCATCCAAAACAATACAGAGAAACCCTGTCTTGGAAAAACAAAAAATAAAAACAAAAACAAAAAAACAAACCCTCACACCTCTGCTCAGCCCACAGGTGTCTCTGTTCCCAGTCAGAGGCAGCCACCATTCTTGATAAAACCAGCATCTTTATGGGGCCCGGCTTGGACTTGAACTCTTATTTTCATGCCTAAATCTCCTAAGCATGAACAGGACCATGATCACTTTTCTTTCATTTATTATTATCTTCTTTCTTTCTTTCTTTCTTTCTTTCTTTCTCTCTTTCTTTCTTTCTTTTTTCTGAGACAGGATTTCTCTGTATAAAGGTCCTGGCTGTCCTGGAACTTGCTTTATATACCAAACTGTCCTCAAATTCGCAGAGATCTGCCTTCCTCTACCTCCTGAGTGGAGGGGTTAAAGGGGCGTGCCACCACCACCCCATTAGGGAGAAGTATTTTTTATTGATTTAGGTTTTTTTTTTGTTACGAGTTACGTTCTCACTCTGTAGTCCTGGCTGGCCTGGAGTTCACTGTGTAGGCCAGGCTGAACTGTCACTTGTAGTGATCATTCTGTCTCTGCCACTTGAGTGCTAGAAACAAGCATGCAGTGTGCAACCACACCTGACTAAACATGTCCTAATTGAACAAATGAATGAAGTTCGTGAGTCTCTGGTTCACCCGAAGGTGAGTTTTCCCAAGCCTGTTGTATCATGTGTGTGTGTGTTTGTGTTCATGAAAGCAAGAAGGAGGAGGAGGAGGAAAAGAAAATAAATGTTTGCTTTTAACCTCTGAGAATTCTAGAATATGATAATTATTTTTAAAAATACATGCTAGAAGAGAGATATAGCAGCACACATCTTTAATTCCAGCACTTGGAAGTAGAGGCAGGCAGATCTTTGTGAGTTCAAGACCAATTTGGGCTACAAAGTAAGAGCACCATAGTAAAACCCTGTCTCAAAAAAACCCAAAAAGCCAAGCAGTGGTGGTGATCGCCTTTAATCCCAGCACACAGGAGGCAGACACAGGAGGAGCTCTGTGAGTTCAAGACTAGCTTGGTCTACAAGAGCTAATTCCAGGATAGTCTCCAAAGCCACAGAGAAACCCTGTCTCAAAAAAACCAACAACAACAACAACAACAAAAAAACCCACAAAACCCCCCAAAAACCCATTTTTTGTTTTGTTTTCTTTGTTTTAAATTAAGTACAAACAGATACAGTGGCAGATTTTTTTGTTTGTTTGTTTGTTTTTCGAGACAGGGTTTCTCTGTGGTTTTGGAGGCTGTCCTGGAACTAGCTCTTATAGACCAGGCTGGCCTCGAACTCACAGAGATCCGCCTGCCGCTGCCTCCCCAGTGCTGGGATTAAAGGCATGCACCACCAACGCCCAGCTTTGTTTTTTCTTCTAGTATTTATTTATTGCATTTTATTTTGTGGAACGACAGTATACACCTTTAGCGAGTTCCAGGACAGCCTCTAAAACAATACAGAGAAACCCTGTCTTGAAAAACCAAAAAACCAAAACAAAACAGCAACAAAAACTAATAAGCAAACAACAACAACAACAAAAACAAGGCCAACACAAACAACAACAAACAAAATCAGAGAAATGTCCAAGCTTGTCTGTGTCACAAAGCTATTTCCAGTCCAGCATGGACATCTCACCAGCCTCTAGAAAATCTGTTTTGTTTGTTTGTTTATTTGTTTTTTTGTTTTTAGAGACAGGGTTTCTCTGTATTGTTTTGGAGGCTGTCCTGGAACTCGCTTTGTAGACCAGGCTGGCCTCGAACTCACAGAGATCCGCCTGCCTCTGCCTCCCGAGTGCTGGGATTAAAGGCGTGCGCCACCAACGCCCGGCTTCCACATTATCTTTATAGTGTAAATACATAGTTTTTATTTGCCAATTAAAACAAATAGGTAACAGACTCAGAGAAGGAAAGTGGATAAGCTAGAATATCCAGTAAAGGAAAATATGTCAGTGTTTGTTTTATGTATCCCAATCCAAAGGAGAAGACTTCAGCAAGTATATGTAAACATCCTCTCTTACTAGTACAGAGAAAAAGACTTTCTGCTTGTTGTGACAAGTTCATTAGCATGGGTCAAGGGTCAATTCTAACAAACAAGAATTGACTCCTATGGTTCAGCACTGATAGGAATTGAATGATTAGCACATTGTGTTAGAGAGGTGCATTGCTGGGCAGTGGTGGCACCTCTCTTTAACCCCAGCTCTTGGGAAGCAGAGGCAGATGGATCTCTGTGAGTTCAAGGCCAGCCTGGTCTACAGAGTGAGTTTCAGGACAGCCAAGCCTACACAGAGAAATTGTCTCAAATAACAAAACAAAACAACACAGCAAAAAAAGTGAGAGGTGCATTAATGGGAATTATGCTTTAGGAATTTTGCTCTGCAAAGGCCGGAATAAGGGGAGTTTTATATTGGGACAGAAAACTACAGTCATATAGGCAAAAATCTCAGGAGAACAACTTAGTAGATATGGGTGTTGGGACAAAGCATGTGAGGAACCTTGGCGGATTCCATGGCAAGCAGGGGTGACCGAGGCCGAGGGACAAACATGCCAGGCAGACAGAGTTTAAGTGAGAAGTTTTATTAGAAAGGGAAAGGGGTGGGGGTGGAGGGAGAAAAGAGGTAAAGAGACACAGACACACAGACAGTGGACAGACGAGAAGAGGGAGACAGGAAAAGTCTTGTCTGTCCCAGGGGTACCGGGAAGAGAGGGGGAGGAAGAGAAGAGGGACAAAGAGAGCAAGAAAGGAGAGCATAAGTGGGCGGGGTCTGTCCTTAAAAGGGGTCCTTTGCACCTGCGTGCGCGGCTGACCAGGGTACTGCCTGAGTACATTCTGCCAGGTGACAAGGGCAGGCCAGCGTAATGCCTGAATCCTTACACTGGGGAAGT